CCACAACAGAGAGAATTCCTCAGGGCGGTGCCAGTCTCATCCTCTTGTTCCTCCCACGCTCCTCCGGCGAGCTAAGAAAATGTTTATCTGCCTGAGCTTGGCCTTCATAATTCCATTCCATCACAGAAACTTTGGGAACACCACAGGTTCCTCACCCCGGGTTTAGGAGGAAGGGAAAGTAAAGGCCGGGGTCAGACAGGAAGATGCACCAGAAAATCTATGACCGTGAAAGGCACTGCGTACCTAGAACGAGTCCCTGCCGCAAATGAAGAGAACGAAGCAGCTAAAGGAAAAACAATGACAAGAAAAGCAGCTCGGAAGAGCAAAATGGAGGAATGGGAAACTGGGGACAGGATGAGCAAGGAGAGAACAGGACACAAACTGCAGGTGCACCGTGGAAGATCTGGGACACCAGGTTTTTTTGGGGGGGGGAGTGAGGATAAGAAGGATCTTACGTTTTCTTTTAATGCCACTTCCTCTTTCTCTTTTTCCTTTTGTTGAAGGAAAGTGCTTCTGAATTAGTGAAAGGAAGACGCCTCTGAAAGTTAAGATGGGATATTTTATTCTAGCTGCCAGGACACCAAACTGCTTACTTTAAAAAGAAAAAAAAAAGGCACAGAGGGAAAAAACAAAACAAAAGCAGAACAATCTAAAGTGGAGCAGCACTGCAGAGCAGAGATGAGTTTTTCGGTTTTGCAAAAACGTCAAGCGTCTTGAACTTCAGCTGGTTTAGCTGCACTGAAATTGGTAGCGCTCATTTTTCCAACTGTATGCGTTTCTGTTTGCAAGGCTGCCTAACATATATAGGCTTTCCTGAAAATAATTTGGACGTTATTTTCACAAACGTAGGTAGGTCCTTACAGACCTTCCCAATTGTAATGGTAATTGTTGCACTGCCAGGAACATTAATGAACAACATTAATAACTCAGAAAACTGAATGCTAAATGGATGTAATTTTCCACTGGGGCAGGGGTTAAAAATATAAAATAGGTTTGCATTCAAATGCAAGCTCAACAAATATTTTCGTGCTCTAGAGCAGTGTTTCTCAACCTTGGCCACTTTAAGATCGGTGGACTCCAACTCCCAGAATTCCCCAGCCAGCATGGCTGGCTGGGGAATTCTGGGAGTTGAAGTCCACCCATCTTAAAGTGGCCAAGGTTGAGAAACACTGCTCTTGGCAGACCAGATAATGCACTGTTGGCTTGGCAGCTATTGGCTCAATTCCTGTGATGTCAGAGAATGTTTAGACATGCCATCATATCAGTGCTAAGCCAACCAAAAATGGTACTTTCGATGGGAAAAGGTACAGAGGAGCCCCGGAAGGGGTCCTATTGAGGCAGGAAGGGTTTGGGGGGTGGAAGCCATATGCGGAGCCTTCCACAAGCAGGCAACTGACGAGAAGGACGGATAATTCCATATACTTTTTCAAAACAAAGCTGGGCAAACCTGATACTTTTGTCCTTCTTGTTTACCTACAGACAGGACAGTCTTCACAAGACTAGGTAGGATAGGACCGAACAATACAAGGTGGAGGGGGAAAAGATGGCTGTGGAGGGGTGGGCTCAGTGTTGATGGCAGAGCTTTGGGGGGGATGCACCTGAGACGTCTCCCATCTTCTCCCCCACCTCCACAGATGCATGCTAGCTCATGGAAAAAGCAATGAGCACACACACTCAGATGGCCCCAAAAAAAAAAAAAAACCAAACCAAGGTGGCTATGGGAATGGCCTGGGATGAGCTTAGTGGCTTGTTTCAGACAGAGGGTGCAGATGAAGTTGAGAACCTCTAGGCAGTCAGTGGGTTACATTTCTGTATGGCCCCAATAAAGGATTAAAAGGAAGGGCAGCTCCTTTGAGAGTGCCAATGACATAAAGGATGCCCTGGGTTTCTTAAAGGCTGCAGTGGGAACGACCACATCAAGGGCAAAGTCCCAAACCACCTGCCTTTATCAGAATGCAGCAAACCAGCCTTCTTCCAAGTCCTCTCCATGCTCCCTGGAGAATTCTAGGAATTGTAGCCCCAACATCTTGGGCAGGGGTTGTGCTAGAGTTTACAAAACATGCCCCCTCCCTCGGGGACCCCATGGAAAACTCACTCGGCTGCCGAAACAAAGCAGTTCAGGTGCCCCTCGTTCTCGTCCAGAACCTCCCGGGTGCGGGCCTCCCCCGTCGACTGCAAACCGATCACCACACACTGTGGAAGGCAAGCCAGGCAGAAATGAGACCAAAGATGGGAAGCACGTGCAAAAGAACAAAAATCGAGCTGTGTAGTAGCCTGGCTGGTAAAACACACGAACTGAAAGTGATGATGATGATGATGATGATGATGA